AACAACACTCCCAGTGTGAACGTTCCGCAGGCTAGCTTCTCCTGAAAATTGCTTTTTAGTTCCTACACAAATTTTTCACTTTCATTTTGTTAAACACGTCCATTGTCTATGCAATTTGACAGCAACTCCATGTATGTACATCAGCGCCAATGGTACCATAAAACGGTTTCCGTGACTGATGAATGAGTGATGCGTTAATCTATCCAATGCTAGTTGACCACAATGCCAATCAGCCGCTGATGGTCAAACAGTCAATTGTTCCAAATACTAAGCAGAGTGTCGCGGATTGAAAACTCCCGGCAGACATCGATAATGATTCCTAAATTCGATAAAACAGCTACACAGCGCTTTCCGGAGCCTTAGCACACGTTTGCCACACTTAAAGGACGGAATTTTGACGAAAAATTGCTTTATTACTCTCGTTTTATAGTTTAAAAAAGTACCCCACCGTGGTATAGCCGTTTTGAGTTACATGACAAACTTTGTTTATAAGGGAGTTGAATGGTCAGAATATTGCGTTCGGTGCCGACACACAATCCAGGTGCAAGCCACATACTTCTCCAGACACCAAACTTAAAAACCCAAAGAATAAATGGTTGCGCAGTCGTCGTGGCACTGACTCTTTACTACAAGTTATTGTAATTCAGCTTCACAAGATATGTGCAATCAAATTTTCTTTGAGTAATAAATGTCGCTTCATCAAGCCTCTGGTGTCATGTTCATCGGGGGTCACCTTTCTTACTTTTCTGAAACGAACTATGAAGGATAGGTAGCTATATACAACATGTGACTGAGATGTTGCATTTTATGGTGCCAGATGCATTCTTGAAGAAACTCCGTTGTATTATCAGGCGCCTGTTCAATCCTGAACGTGACAGCTAACATGCAACCTAGTATAACTCAAGCAGGCGTCATAGGACTGACGTGAACTTAGAGTAAGCCTTTCAAAATGTTTCATCAGTTTTATTTTAAAGGATGCATTGTCAGTTATTATGGTATAAGTCACCACCAGCAGAGAAAACAAAATTATAAGTGTATGTGTACCGATATGTTGAAGAAGTTTTACATTGTTTGAAGTCACATCTATCAAATCAAAATATTCATTTTAGGCTAGCTATCGAATTTATTTTGACCTGAACGTGGTTCAGAAGCACTTTGAATAGGACAAGTTCTTTATTTCCATCGACTGGATTCCACAGTACCCTCTTCCAAGACGCATGATGGCTTACGTCAGAATGGATGTACGTCCCACTGATTAGTCGAAATTAAAAGAAGAGGCCAATTTGATCACCTCCACCCGGGTCAGTTGGAACCCTTTGGAGGGGCTGATTCAGAGCTCTCCTTTACAAGATGGGACAACACACCATTTTCCGTTCTAATGAATCTCTTGTATGTGTTCATCCAGAATCGAACGCTATAGAAAAGCCGTCTGATTGTTTACCTCGGCCAACATTTTTATTATCGTAGTAGGTTTCCACAACATTTACCGTTTCTCACGAGATCGAAACCCACTATCTGCTTTGCTTTGTGTACAGCACGTCATTTTGCTCCGTTCAGTCAACAGAATATAGGTTTGCGAAGTTGCAATCAGCGCTCCATACCCAGGAATTCCGTGTTAAATCAGGTCTTCTTTTAACACACACGTAAACGCTGTTGATAATTTTGTGCGGGCCAAAGGCGCTGTTGAAGGTTCGGATATGTGTGAGGCAACCTCAAGCCTTATGAAACCAAGCAAACAGCTTGTGTGGCCAGCTCACTAATATATACTACTACCGGTTTGTAAAAATTCATGACAATTTATATTATTCAAATGTCCATCCATGTGGCTTTACTACATGTGTGCTAGGTGAGACATAATAATGATGATAATAATAATAATAATAATAATAATAAACCTTTTCGAAATGAAACACTGGGCCAACTGCGTCTGCCAACTGCGTCTGTGAAAAATGGGCTTGGAATTACTTACTTTTTCAGCAGACACTTTAAGTCATATTGAAGTGTAGTGGATAATTTTGTTAGGTTACCGGATCACTCATATTGATGAGTGTCCTTGCAGGTCTGACAGAGTTCCTCTCATCAGGTTGCTTACATCTTTACAGCCTGGCAATCAGTCACATAAGGCTCCCGGCAGAAGCTGTGGAAATTGCGTAAGAATTTTTTTGGGAAACATAATGTTCAAACATTCTATGCAAGATAATGCCAACATGCGGTCGGAATTTTAAGCCATAAACTTCTATTAAGATCCATACTAGGTTTTTTCTTCATGGTGTTCCACGCTGATAGGTAATAAGGCCGCAGCTCACTTATTATCCCGTGATTTCAGCAGAATGACTGCCTTTGTTTTGGCATGCGTAAAGCTAATTAGCGTAAACAGGCTACCACCGACGTATTTAACTCTCCCTAATCTCCCTACTTTTGCCTGTTACTTCGTTATTAATACCATCCTATAGGCCACTCCATTAGCGCTGTCTACCCACTATATTTGACACCGAGCTCTGCTACGCTCTATACGCGTTATCTGGAGATAACGGCTTCGGAACCTCGAAATCAAAATTGTTAACTCAAATTCTGGCTGGCTTTGGGTTTCACAACCTGATACTATGGGAACAAAACATTGCTTTTATGCGCACGCTAGAATCGTCTGCAACCAAGGTATGCAGCATAGCAGAAACATGAGTTTTTGAACCACATTACTCATATTTTGCTTTTAACGTTCCAACTATATCTATTTGGAGCCCTCTGAGACTGAGTGTGCAGTAATCAGCATCGTTTTAAGTAACCGGAACAAAAGGTCCATGCTTGAATTGATGGTCATCGATGGTTGTATCTGTACGGTTTATCTGGGAACTTCCCTGACTGAATATGACACCAAGAGATTGAACATTGTTTGTTGACTACGTTTACCCACGATTTATTTAGCTGCGGGTTCACTGCAAACATACGGAGTTTTTACGATTATGTAACGACAAGTAACAGGGTTTAAAATACCCATATACCATTGTGGGTGCCGAACTGCAAAACAGAACTAAGCAGATGAAATTATACTCAAATGAGAAGAAGGCTTGTTTGACCTTGGCACTTTAATGCAGCTCTAAACGTTTGCTGTGGTTGAATTCCTACGGCAAGCAAACTATCTAATAATATCTAAAATGGCTAAAACCGCGTGGTTGCGCAGTGCTTCTAAGTACTGTCAGCAGTGGATTCTGGTTGCTCACACTCCAATAATCTTCAAGTGAAATTGATCGAAAGCTGACTGTCACATCTTTTGAAACACGCGTGTGAAATCTTATCACATGCTTATAAATACTTCGTTTTCTGCTTTTCAAGGCTAAGCAAATAGTGTTTTGCCCATCTAGAAACTAAGAGGCATGCAGTGCCGAGTTTAGAAAAACAATGTAACCGTCTTTATGGCTTTTATCTATCCACAGTACAGAAGGACAATCCACACTATGACATTTATGTTACTCACATAAGCTCATCGAGAACGGGATAGCGTGCTGTCATTTCGTCAAATATATAGTATAACAAAAGGGACGGTTAGTCTTCGATCCAGCATAAGGGTATGGGACAGGCAACCACAAGTTTGGTTACTAACTCTGTCAGCTGCCTCTATCACTCTACTTCGTGTGATTCCTCCTGAGGGCCGTTAAAAAATGATGCAAGGAGTTACTCCCATTCCACAACATTGACAAATGCTCCGTAAGCTTATACTCATTATCTGAACGAGTAAGTGTGAGCAACGAAAACTGATTTCAGCAGATTAGTGCTACATTTCTTTTTTATCATGTTTCACTAGTTCCATTGCATTGAGGCTTTCAGCTGAATCATGATGGAATCATAGTGTGAAACCGATGTAAAACAAGAAGGTCAGGCCTTCGATAATGGTGATGACCAACGTTAGCTTAACTCGGTTGAACTTTCAAAATAACAAGGATGTGAAGAAGATTACTAATAGCCTCCTACACACTCCCACGGCAGGTACAAATTCAAATATCTATCCGTCAACTACAAAAATGACCTATTTGTGCACCGTATTGATATCGCTTGGAGAAAAACTGAAACATTATGTGTGTAATGTGTTTAGGATACTCCACCGCGCTCTAGCTGGGAATTATTGCAAATATTGCAACTAATATGCCTGTAAACATGTAGGTCACCTAACGACGTGAAACGGGCCTCCCACTGAAGTGACCACTAATCGAAGTTTTGCTTGGCCAGTTAATGCAAGAGGAAACAAAATTCATACGGATGGCAGTATTGAAAATTTTCATAGAATATATACGTTGCGGCCTTAGAAAAACGACCGGGACAAACTTACTAATCGTTCTCCCTTCAGGGCTATTTGGCCGTTCGGCTGTAGTTTTGGAAATCACAAATACCAGCAGTTTATGGCATTATCGCTACTTCCTTCTAGCATGACAGTGGAGCTTAAGTAAAGTACGTGGACTTCTTGCAGTTGTCTTCCCTAACGAAGTTCTCAGTAGGTTTCTAAAGTGAATTCACATCACTTTGGTTGTCCAACCATACCCAGATTTAAACCACGATATCCAGATAAGGCACTGTTTTCGGTCTTCTGATATACTAAACTGAGGATTATCCACGTAGCAATAGGACCAGCTTGTGAATTAAAAACACCGCTCAGCTGCTCATCTATACATTTCTAAGAAAGCAAAGTCACATGTGACGTTAAGTTATAATTCCGACACTGCAACTCCAAAATTTGTCTTGATTATGGTTATAGATTTTGATTTTGACTGGACACAATGCACCACTGAAGTCATTCTTGTAGTGATATTATTTTGTCTTGCGCGTCAATTACTTTTTTTTGAGTATGCCACATCCAGTATTCTGCTATGATACGATGAATTATCGCAGTCAGTCCCCTGGACAATTCTTAGCCATGAATTCTAAGTAGACCGGGGAACATGAAACAGAAACATGTACATCATTTCCACTGGCAGTTAGAAATCATGTCGACCTGAAGTGAAAATTCTTACCTTGGATGCCTCAATCTCCCTAAGACTCTCTTCCTGTGAATCTTTCTGCGCGAACCTATCCAGACCTTCAACCTCAGAGTAGGCCGGTCTGAGTTGGCCACCATGCGGTGTAAGTAGATAGGCAGCATTGGAATCCTGATCACGTATGTCCACTCCAGTAAATGGACGAGGTAAGTCGCTGAACGAAGAATCAGTGGTGTATCGACGTATCCTAACTTCGCGTGTGGTGTTAGTCCGCTTGGCAGCCGAAGAGGTGGCACCTGCACGCTCAATCACTATCCGACCGTTCTGTACAGGGATTTCACGTGGATAAGCCTGCATATTAACTCATCGGCTCACAGTTCATCGGCGACCGCACGAGCACGGATGATATGAGCATGAACATGACAGGGAAATCAGTCTCACAAAACAGTTGATTGGTTTATTTCCCATTGGGATGTTTGTTGCTTATAATATGCATTATGAAAGAGCGCCGTGAATATGTATTGGACACTTTTTGCGATGATTCTGTGTTCACATAAAAATCGCTTGCGAAAACAATAAAGATACGTCAATCTTTTGCCCAACCAAATACCTTGAGCATCAGCGAGAACAAACAAATTTCCTTCAAGTTTATATCGCAACATTCTTCAATGCCGCATGCAATCGTCACATCTAGAACCACAAAGAAGCCTTTCATGGAGTAGAGAATAACAATAAGTCTGTAGCGCGTTGTTCGAAGTGCATCAAGTTACGTCAGCAAGTCATCATTCGCACAATAAAATAGCTATTTCGAAATTGCGGTGTTGTCAGGCTTTCCACTTCGTAGTAAGGAATGTCGGAATATAACATTTATGCTCACGTATCATTACAAATTATTTATTATGGTGATTTGTTCATGCAAGCAAATCTTTAAGGTCAATAAACACCACCGACTCTAGAAACGCCGTCAAATAAAATAGGAAATAGCAAACACTGAGCCACCTATAATGAATGGAAATTTCTGATGTACTTCTGGCTGAAATAATTCCCTTAAAGTTATACAATCAACAATTACCTTCGGGATCGAAAATATGAGGAGGTGCATTCCAGCAAAACAATAACCCTCGGGAATCTACGGTTTCTGCTGTTCTTCCGGAACCAGACTTCATTTTTCGCTTGCCTTTGCAGCAGCTACACGAATTTCCTGATTGTCCATGGATTGCCCGATGTAGTTTGTGTGCCGCTGAACGCTAAGTCGGGTAGCGTGCGTGGTGTTATTCTCTGTCAACTTTTTCCAGTTTTCTTATACGCTGGTACGTCGGCAAACTGTATATGCACATGGCCAGTTTCGTTCAAGACAATGTAGATGGTTAAACGTCAATGCAACCACGATCGTAAGGCGTGATTCGTGTGTTTAGGACAAAAAGAAATTTGGTGGTTTGATGTTTGGCTTTATCTGAACTCCTTCCGAGCATGTTGATGAAGGGAAAGCTCAAACGTGGATCAAGTAGCACCACACTCGCTGTTCTAAAACACTGCAATAATTTATCCATAACCCGCGGAAATGAGGCAAATTACTGCCAGACAAACCGCAGCCGCATGAAAATAAAGGATCAAGAACAGGTATGACTCAGTTACTCTGTAAAAAGCTCTACTATGGCAATGAAGTGCCGGCAGTGACCATCGTAACAATCTTCATAATGTTACCTACTCCGTTTCATTTTGAACAATACCAGAAAGCTCCCTTTTGAACAGTCAGTAAACGCTTTTATTAATAAATTTTGATGCCGCGGAACTAGAAATAACAAGAATGTTGTTTATTTCCCCACTTGTGTGGGACAAGCCGAGTGGATCCTGATCGGGCCATTGCAACCTGAGCGCAGCGTGCAACGGCACCAACGACACATGCTTATCGCCGAAATATCATCGTTGTTATGCAAACCAAATAAACATAACCATTAAAATGAAGTAAAAATAGGTTAGTGATAAGGCCGGTTGGCTTGAGCCAAAAATCGAAACAGTTGTTGACAATGAGTGACTCTAAGCGGTTAATTAGATGCATGGGGTTACAATAGACAAAAATGGATATGGAGGAAAAAATCGAAATGGAAACAAATGGCAAGTACCGCCTCCAAAATACGGTTTAAATTGAAGCTGGGTATGGATGTCAGTTGTACAGGTGATTTTCGATGGGTGACTCGTGCCGATCCAATAACCAAACAAAAACCGCAGCCAAAATCATTGAAATTTTAGGGTCGCCATACCGATACTGCAGCGGAAAACTAAAACTGTTAAATGTTAACAAATGGCTCCACGAGTTTGAATGAATTTGTCCCAGGAGCAGTTACGATTGTTAAGCAACTCGTTTTTAGTTTCAATTACGGGCCCGATTCCGTGAGGATGACGGTAAAGAGTGGGAAGAAAATATTTGCAGGAGAGTCGTCAACCTTGATATTTCAGGGCCATGCAGTGGCGCACGCTGTTTCCCAGACTCCTCTGTAGTGGACGCAATCGGATCATAGAATGCACTTTCCTTTTGCGACTGGATCCTGGTTGAATCGTGTAGGGACAGGCCAACCTAGATTCGCGAATAACTGTGATTTTGATTGAAAACCGTGTGAATTTGAAACCCGGACTAACCAAAATGAATACATAATACCAATATGGGGCATTTGGTTTAGCTGCTGCTGTAGTTTGAAGATCAGGAAGAAGGTAGAAACGGAAGAATTGAACAATTAGCGCCTGGCGATTGCCAATAGGTAAGAGATAAACTAGTGTCCAAAAATGATCTACCAGTGTCCGGCCGCAGGCTTAATATACCTACGAAAGAATGTGTTTTTTGCTCACTTGGCAGACGATGAACAGCTGGAGTTATCGATAAAGTGTGAGGACACGACAAATCACGATTAGTGTGCTTTTGCCCGTCGACTATGCAATATTAGCGCTAAGAATTATCTCGTATTTGCATGATGGTTCGCCGATCAGGTGTAGGGCCTGGCCGAGAGCCGCTGAATAATCTTGAAAGGGTGAGGAAATAGCCGCCGAGATAGCAAACGGGGATTAGTTGGTACGACCGATGACTGGATATGATGTACAATCAGCTATAATTCATTCAGAAGGCCTCTGTAATGCAAAATAGGTAGATAAGGACTGATGTGGCGACCGCTATTACGATAACAAATCGCGACTGTAGTTTGACTGCACAGAAAACTAAGAGCGTGGTTCGCCAGTCACAGGGTCACTGCTGTCATCTTTAGGCAGAGAATGATGCTTGGCAATAAAAGCCAACAAGCACTAGCCATGGCTGTATGTAATCAGAGAATAATGAGATTTTTTTATATTTAAAGTGCGATCATCGCAGGAGCCAAGAGGAACGAACGAGTGTTATGTTTCACTAATGAAGTAAACTTCGAGCAAAAAGGCGACCATTTCTGCAGGGCGCACCAGGGAACTAGAGGAGATTTTGATCTTTCAAACATGATACCAGACCAGCAAGTGACAAGCTATTATGTCGTAATAATTACGACCTGTTTATTACAAAATACTCTGGCTAACACATTTTATACTGTCGGAGGCAGGCCAACCGAGCTAAAGAGATCAGACTTTTTGAACACGCAGGCAACAAACAGCTGCTGTTTGAGGCAGTCCGCAGAAGCAAATTCAACGGCAGAATGCACCTGAGACCGAGCTAAAGAGATCAGACTTTTTGAACATGCAGGCAACTAACAGCTGCGGTTTGAGGCAGTCCGCAGAGGCAAATTAAACGGCAGAATACACCTGAGAAGTTGGAGCAGCATGGAGATATTGAGAGCCCGTACATTATAGACAGACTACGACGAAACCATGGCGTGAAATCCCGCGCTAAGCAAAGCCGTACTGCAATGTTGCGTATGTATCAATGAACGGGCTGTAGAGTGAAGCGACAATTTCATTCATTGCGCATCTTCCGACGTAATGCCTGATTTACATGCACAGCACTTGATCAGAAGATGCAGAGTGGTGCCGAGAGTGAGGATTCATTCATTGCGCATCTTCCGACGTAATGCCTGATTTACATGCACAGCACTTGATCAGAAGATGTAGAGTGGTGCCGAAGAGTGAGGAAATTAGATTTCGCCTTGGTTGACGTTAGTTAGACATTGGCAAAACAAAGCACTGGACATCAAAAAGAGCTGGCAAAGTTACACTATGCTTGAACCCAGCGTGAAAGAATGAGCAGTAAGTCATCTGGGTGGAGAAATTTTGGGACAGTAGGGGAATATTACCAGATCAGGGAAAACAGGCATGCAAACCATTACAATGCTTGGCGCTAGACACCAGGCAACAGATATGCACTTCAGGGAGCCAATGCAGCTGCAGTCACAGAGTGAAACTTCATCATATGTGACAGGTTAGAAGATAATTAATGGCTAATAACACTTGTGAGGAAAACTGTCTCATCTGTGGATTGTTGTTGGAGGGTACAAGCTGGTAAATGTACATTCTAGTACCAGGTGACAGGACATTGGAATGGGAGAGTAATTTAGAGTTCCGCGGGACTTCTTAAAAAGGTCAGTGTAGTCTGTAGCGCAAAAGGACACTTGACACCGCCAACAGAAAAGTAACAATCAGGGGTGATTCAAAAGCCCAAAAGAGAGGATATATGGATGTGGAAGGGAAGCCTGTTCCGTAGTTAGGAATACAAGCAAAGAAAAATCTTTGTTTAAAGTCAGCTCGACAAGTTGATCATCGGAGCAAAAATCCAGGGTTGTGGAGACTATAGGGCAGGGAAAAAGTTCAGCCCATCGGTAGATTAGGCGATTCACAATTTCTACTCATATCATGATCCGTCTCAGCCATAAAGCATCCAGCCCAACTGATAAACAGCGAAGACGATATGGTTGTGCGTTTGACGCCGGAAACAAGGTATTAGAGAATTAGCACTGCAAATTCTCCACAGCTACCTGGCATGCTTGTGGATACTTCGGGGTGATCTTGGGACTAGATTCCAGGACGATCCCAGGAAGATCAATAAACAACCCATTAAAATATATGTGAACTAACCCTCTTACAACAAGTTACAAAACTGCCCAGTGATATGTAAAACGAATGAACACATGGACGACACGTCGATAGATAGAGTGGTAATTGCACCTCACAGCACGGGTGTTAAAATTATGAGAGCACCGAGGAGTTCAAACCGATAGCTCATGCAAGCTGCTGCGCGGTAATTTATCCTTGAGTGTCACGGATCTATTTACTTTGGAACGAAAGATACTTTTTCCCATTTTTATCCGCCGCACCGCGTTCACTAGGCAACTAACTTTATCCAGGGTCTCCCATTTGATCTCAGTAATAATGCCGCAACGCATGCACTTATCATTCAACCGTGATCCACCAACTGAAACCACATATGCGGTGTTGGTTCTGTCTCCAGAATTTTTCTGCTAATCGCTCTTGTTTGTAGTTTTTTTGACTGCATCGGTTGCACTGGTGGTTCAAGTGTGTACGTCGACGTAAGTAGCGACATCCATCTCAAATCCAACAAGGTGCTGACACTTGGTAATGAGTTCCGAAATATCCGCTCCAAACCCTTTTCAGTTCGAT